GTCTCGAGTGTCTGTTTCGAGGAGTCGTCTCGAGTGTCTGTTTCGAGGAGTCGTCTCGAGTGTCTGTTTCGAGGAGTCGTCTCGAGTGTCTGTTTAAGTTCATCGTATTGTCAGCCTGGTGTCATGCTTCACGAGCCTGGACCTACCGGTAGTCATGAAAATGTCCAGCTTCGTGCCTTCGCAGCACAGGCATTGAACCAATGGGGCCTGCCTCTCAGTGTGGCAGGGTCCACCTGTTGCATCAGACCTAGGAGTCGTCTCGAGTGTTCTTGGCTCGTCATAGTGTCATCTCGTCCTCCAGAGAAGCGGCTGCAGAATGGGTTTGTCGCCAAGCTCCATACGCGCTGTTAGCTCGGCCCACCAAAGCATCGGAACTCAATTGTCGCCAACCTCCCTCGATAAGCAGACGAGGGACTCCGAACATCATCTCGGCCGACTTCCTGGAATGACCTTCCAGATTGTGATGTAGTGAATGGCACTGAATGTCCTAAACATGACCAGTATAGCATCAATGTCCATACCGGGACCAGCTAGCTGTTCATGCCGTTCTCAGAGACGCTGGGTCCATTGTTTCAAACTTCGAAGGTAACTGTTATTATAATGTAGTAAAATTAATAAATTATATAATAATAATGTGTGTTTGTTGAACTTTGTTTTGACCGGCACCTCACAGGGAGAGTGCCAGCATATTTCTCCGATGTCGTTTTCTTAGCGCTCTGGGAGCGCCGCAATGCGTGGGAATGTTGTGTGCTGTGCTGGATGTGCTGCACCATTCTACACTGTGCTCTCTGTCAGACTTCTCTGCAGCTGTTTCGATGAAAACCTCTGGGGTTCGTTCGATTGTTGTTTGGTCTTGTTGGCCAGCTGGGGTATGTGGTCCAAGCCGGGGATTATCATGCAAAGCAGTGTATACTAAAAGCTAAGTAAAATCTGTATTTACTATTTTAGTATTTTGACTCTTTAGACAACAGAGGGGCAAAATAGACGGGAGTTGTTTATCCTCCGTTCTTCTGGGATGTTTGTTGGTTGGGACTAGGGAGTTGAAATATCACCCCTGCGTCTCTGCTTCTGGCGGTCAGTCTCATCGGTCTTCCTTTAGGACGTTTACGAACAGTACCGATTCCGAAAAGAATTGTCCTCAAGCTGTCCTATGATCCTATCCCAAAATCTCTCCCATACATACCACCTTAGCAGTTGTACTTTTCCGCCGGCTGAATGGCAGATGCTATGCAGTGCACACCTAAACCACTAATCGACAAGCTAAGAGCCCTAATCTGGTCTGACATAGTAACATTAGGGGTTGCCCCCGCCCCGCGCCCCCTCCCCTTCCGCCCCTCCTCCTCCCCCCCCCCCCCCCCCCGCGAGTGGCATTGAGCAGAGACTGCTGATGTTCATAGGGGGAGGGGACCGGAGGGGAGGCACAGTGACTGGCCCATCGAAGAAGCTCGGTCNCCCCCCCCTGCGCCTTACAGAACATTTTCAAGATAAGAGTTGTCAACAGGGGTAGCAGGAAATTCAGAAAACAGAAGAGAGGGTATTGAAGGATTGGGATCTCGGCCGATGAAGTATGGGGTCACTGTTGGCAGCATCTGGGTGAGAGAAATGCAGGGGTGAATAGGACAGAGGGGCAAAGATGGAAAGGTCATTAGGTTCCTTGTGAATCTTGTGATTCCATTTACCGGGCAGTGTGATGGACTCAGTGGCTTGTAAGGCAGGCGCTAAGGGCATAGTTATGCCAGGAAGTTTCCGGGATGCATCTCTCCGTAATGAGGGCCAGATTGAGTCGAGAAAATCCTTGCGTGAGTCACCCAAGACAAGAAAAGATCAGGGGCATAGAGTCTTCTTGGTCATCCACTCTCCCATCTCTGAAAACGTTTTTGGACACAGAATGAGGTGCAACCCCCTGTCAAACTTTCTCATTGCAGTTGCAATGAGTTTGGCTGCATGCGGTCCAAATGATACTTTGCGGTCCAGATGGTACTCCGCTACTTACGGTCCTTTTGACGCTGTTGTGTTGTCTTGACTTTGAAATGGAGTGCAACCTCCTCCCTCCTTTCTTTCTCGTTGCCATTCAAAAACTCACTCACACTCGGTCAAAATCACTGCATTCTTCGCCATGTATGTTGCTTGTGGTGCTGTTGTGTTGTTTGGACTGTGGCAGGTTTCTGACACGTTCTGTTGCGGATGTATTTGGAGAGCAGCAAAAAGCCTGACTTGTTCTTCTTGTATTCATTTTTCTGGTCCTTGCCTTACAGGCTTCTTGTGGCGGTTGGGGGAGCAGTTGTGCTGTATTGGGCACGTCTGGCGTGGAAGCAGAAGGTGGCAGCAGCCCGCTGGCAATCGCTGCAGGATGTGGAGGAAGCGCAAGTAAGCCGAAGGGGGAGACTGTGCAAGGGGCAACCGATCGGTCATTGCGCCATGCGGAAGGCGATCCTGCGGTGGCGGGAAACGGGGGGGATCGTAAGGTAGATATGGGTCTACCTTTGCAGGGGCAGGCCGATGACGGTGTAGCTGACGAAGCCTTGAGTGGAGAGAGCAATAGCACAGTGGTAGATACAGATCGGGGCATGAGGGATTGGCCCCTCTCACAGAGGTTACTTGCATGTTTGATCGAGCCGGAGAGCGGCGAAAGTGTTGTCGGGGGCACGAGCGGCCATTGTTTGGGGTTGCAGTCACATCTGAGCCGTACCTGGACAGATGCGGGGGCGACTTCCACACACCGAGAGGTGATTAGGTCCAATAGCAGCAAGGGCTCCAGGCCCGTGTCACAATTGGCGAGCGATTGCCTAGACCGAGTCGGCACAGGCGGGGTGAACGGGGCTCGGCATGTTGGTTCCCAGGGAGCGGGAAGTGTAAGGAATGGATCAGGATGGAAAACAGATGAATCCGTTAGCCCAAGCAGAGGGGGCGGTGCGGATGCCCCCCGTGTGCGTGATGGCTCCATTGCAGGGCCGAGTGTGAAGGATGAGATGGCCTGGTCAGGAGGGGAGTTGAGTGCTGTGCCAGAAAGGGTGGGAAACAACAGCTGGAGAAAGACGACCTGGCCGTCAAGCAGTGCAGCAGTAGTTAAGGCAGAGGATGGACAGGACGATGTGAAGGGGGTCTTTGAGGATGCGTCCATATGCGGTTCGCAAAGTGAAGGCAGGAAAGGTGTCGACGGCCTGAACCAAGCCAGAGACGACTGCGAGGAAAGACTCAAAGCTGAGCTGCGAAGCATTGGATTGTTCGTAGATGAAGAGGTGGGTGGGTCTCTCGATTGCGAGACTGATCAACGGTTGGTCGGTTGGTCGGTCGGTCGGTTGGTTGGTTGGTTGCAACCTCCGTCTCTAACTCAGTAGCGGTAGGAGAAGCAAGCACCACTTCACTGCAAAGAATTTTGGCATCCATCCAGTAAAGAGAAAAGAGACGCTAAAAAAAAAAAGAAAAAAAAGAGAGACGCTTTCAGAGGTCTTGTGATGGATGGGTGGCTATTTTAATTATTAAAGACCTTTTTCAGGTTCTGATCACACATAACCCTGTCACCATGTGGACTGTCATGTGGACGACGCAATCATTATCTAGTAGTATACATCGATATTAATTGATCAATCAATACGCCGTAAACAACACATATACAGTATTATAAACCAGTCCGTCGTCGTCATCATCATCATCATCATCATCATCATCATCATCATCATCATCATCATCATCATCATCGTCGTCGTCGTCGTCGTCGTCATCATCATCATCACAATCTTCGTCATCATCACCATCTTCGTCGTGATCATCATCATCTTTGTCATGATCATCGTCGCCATCCTCCTCCTCGTCATCGTGAAAATAATAACGGCATGTATGTGAGCAAGCGGTCTGGAAACTGTGCATAGAGCACGAACTCTGTGGCCTGTGTGAGCCCGGTGCACTATGACAGTAGGATGGTTCTAGGCACCAATCGATGGGCGCAGGTGTCTCTATGAGAGAGCTCTGTGATGAAATCTTGTAACGTCTTTTCGTGGGAGTTGTTTCACATATAGTTGCTGGGTACCCTGCACAGATGTGTGTTGGTTTCCTGCGGATTATGCCGATCACATCTCAGTAAAAGGTGAGCACTCGTACATGCATCAAATTTTACACAGAAAAACAAAGGGCAGATGCTAAGCATCTGGCACACACAAGCTACACACAAGACGTGGGGAAACCGTTACGGTGGCCAGTCTCCGGCTACTAAAACACCAGAATCCGACCAGATGCATTGAATCTCTGAAAAGAATGGCAGCCTGGGTGGAATGATTTTGACTCTTATCAGAAGGTAGAAGATGCGCATGCGCATGAATGAATGGTTGTTCGGTTGTTCATAAGGGTTCTTTTGCGGCGTAGCGAATCTGATACCTTTTGGAAAGTTGGCATGCAGGCAAGCGTGGGACTTCAAGCAAGAGAGACGGATATAACGGGCCCGCGAAAAAAAAAGCGGAAAATAAAAAGGAAACATGCAGCTGTCGATTCGACTGACTATTATACTGATATTGTTGCGCTTCTTCTCTGGCGTTGTCGTTTTGTGCATTTGTGTCATCCATGTACCGTACAGCAGCGCATTCTGTGTTGCGTTTGGCATCGCTCCACCTCTCACCAAATGTGCAAATTGAGAATGGAACATGGAGAGCCACACCACCAAAGTTTTTTTGTTTTTGTCTTTTGTGCATGTGGTGAGTTGTGGATCAAGCAAGGCGGCCATTGTCGTTTCGTACATTCATATCGAAATAGGAACTGTGAGTACTGAAAAGAAAAGATTCAAAAGAACAAAGAAAAAAAAGGAAGGAAAAAAAGGAAGGAAATTCAAGGGATTGTGAGTGCCATAATCCTGGATAGTATTACTTAAAAGTTAAAAGTTAAAACTTAAAACTTAAAACTTAAAACTTAAATTATTTTGCTAACTTTTGTGCACATGGGCTTCTTTTTTTGTTGTTTTTCTTTCACTGACAGGTCCATCAGCAGGCATCGGGTGAGGTTGATGAGACTCTGCGGATTCTGCGAATGGAGCTATCCGAGCAGGTGTTTATCGGGAAGAGTGGGGGGGAAGGGGGGCCGGGGGGGGAGCAAGAATGCTTTTTTTTACAAATTTGCAGTGCTGAATGGGGACAACAAGTTGGACAAGATGATTGATTCCACGACAGTTAACAGCAGACTGACATGATTTGGAAGTATGGCCATTGATGTTTTTCTTTTCTTTTTTTCATTCGGAGTCGATGACGAGAGAGCGTATTTAGCTTGCTTGGGGAAAGAGCGCATAGCTGATAAATCAGGGGCAGTGTTGCACACGCCGACCGTCGGCGACCCCTGACTGGTCGGCTGCCGACCCGCCAACAGGTCGGCTGGTCGACACCTACCAGTCAGGGGTCGTCGGAACCCCGCAAAAAAAATTAA